AAAAAATTCTCGAAGCTGTGAAAAATGCTCAATCTTTAAATTCAAGCATCATTCGTAAACATCACAGTATTATCGCTGAGATGGAAACAATGTTAAAATTATGGCGTAATAATCAAGTAAATGTGAAAAATTGTAAAATAATATAGGCCTAATTTGTTATACATATGTATCATTTTTTTCTAAATTATTGTTTTCTTTAGTCTCCGGCCCCAATTAAAAGTTATTTGTATGTATTTATATGCGAAATTATACCGACTTATGCGAATTCGACTTACGCGCTTACCGCTTGGTTCCACCTATCGCGTAAATTTGGGGTATTACTGTACTCCAAAAAATTATTATATCATATATTTAGTGTTTAATCAAATTATGAATGTTTAAACATCACTAATAAAAGCAATTATGTAAATATTTTCTCCTATTTATTTTGGGGTCTACTTTGTGTGTTTAAAACAAGCTTATTATAAAAGAATGTTTAGAAGTTTGAATTAAAACAGCATTATCATATAATAACCTCCCTACACAAGAATTTGCTATAGAAACAATTTTTTATTGCTAATTTTTCAATATTAAGTAAACTAAATACTCTCTAAGTATAAATTTACAATGTTAAAAATGAGCATATATTTCTCTCTTGATTGAAACACACTGTAAAATAAAATAAATGAGAACATATTACCTCATATTATTTACAATCTTGTTTGAGATATGTAAATGAAAAGATATTTTGTATGCATCAATGTATAAATCCACGATGCAAAAATATATTAAGCAAACACATGCTACAATTATTTTTCAATGTCAAAATTTTAAGTAAATTATACTTAATTAGTATAAAAAAAATGATCATATTTATTTAAATGATCTACAAAGGATAAAAACACAATTGAAACATAAATTTGACATTTTATAAGTGAATGAGACAACACTTATGTAAACAAATTTAGTCATAAATCTTACATTAAAAGTGAGTATTAGCATATATAAGTATATTTGAGAGACGTCATTCATATTTAAAAAGATACATTTATTATATATAAATGTGTAATTTTAATTATAGGTCTGTCAGTTATATTTGATAATGAAATCTAAATATTCTTAATACTTTCTGGTGAGTCTACTATCATATTAAATTCAAAGATTTTATCTTAAATGATGAATTATGATATATATCATAATTAATACAAATGTTGATTTATATGGATTTGGTTTCATGAATGAATTATTTACAAATGATTAGCTATCAAAATATTTTCCTAAAAAGATTTCTCTAATATAAATCAGTCTGTTCCAAAAATTGGAAGAAAACCTGACAGTTTTTTTTAATAGACATTCCAATGATTTGAATATCATATTTTATGAAGTGTCCATGATTTGTTTTAACAAATCAAGCTATAAAACGAACTATAGGTTACAAAATTTAGTACGGAAAACCACAGCAATGTTATAGGTCATCGTGGAAGAGAATTATCGTTTCCTTTTAGATGAACTGGGAGAAAGATCTCTCTGACGTTTCCTAGTGCATATCTGTATGTCTGACTCATCTGTTTTGCTATACAAATCCTGTTTCGCATTTTCTTTTCTGCTATTCCTGTAATTAAAACAAATAAATAAACATTCCAAATTTTTAAGTAACATTAATTTAATTCAAATGTAAATAACTTATAATAATCAGGCCAAATTTTAATAAATGATAAATGTTGAATTTTTTCAGGTTATAATTATGTATAAGAAAAATAATAGGGTCCATTTTAATTTTAAAATTATGTAATTATTAATATTAGTACAAGAGAGCAGTCTAAATGCCTACATTTTAATCAATGAAATAATGTAAGTTGATGTGATGTCTAGACTAAATAATATCTGAAAAAATCTGGCCTTAAGTAAATAATGTAAATTTAAAAAAGTTTGTCATTTTGAATAAATACAGTTAGATAAAATTAATTTAAATATTATCAATTAATGTTACAATTTGTTTTGTGAAATTTATTAACTTATAACAGTAAACAATCAGACTAAATCATTCTTTAGTTGTATTGTGTTACATTGTCAGTATTGTATTGTAAAAATTGTCTTTATTTTATAAACTTATAAAAACTATATTTTATCTTACCTTACTTCTTTTGAACTATCTGGTAAAGGATTTAATTCAGAAGTTTTGGTTTTTATATCTGTATTACTGGTTTCATTTTCAGTACATGCAGGAATGGAAGCCAAATCACTGTCTTTATTAGAAGAATGTGTGTCAAGAGATTTTGATCGAGTCCGTCTGCCAGAATTTTCTTTTTTGTCGTGTACAGTTTCTTTCAATTCTTGATTTTCTTTTACTTTTTTTGCTTTACTCTGTTCAATTTCTAAATTCTTTGAATGCTTTCTTTTTGTCTTCTTACTATTCATTTCAGCTTCTTCATTATCACTGTTAGCAGAAGAAGAATCATCACTTTGTTTAGCTTCTTGATTAGAAGCTTTATCTGAATGATTGGAAGAATCAGAATCAGCACTACTTGAACTACTGCAAGACCATTTGCTATTATTAAAGATAGAAGAAAATTCATCCGATGCATATCGAGGATTAATTTTTCTCTGTCTCCGAAGCTCCCATTTAGGTTCTGTTTTAGGCTTAGAGCTCAAATTTTCTTCTTTGCTACTCTCTGTAATTTAGCATAAAATTATTATATTATAAAATTATCAAATTATCAAAATATAAACATTTTAAAATATTCAGAAATTTCAGATGTATATCAAGAGATTTTAAAATCATTTTTTAAAGCATTACTTTTTTTTACCAAGACGACAAAAGAAATCTATCATGCCTCTCATTTGCATTTTTTATTTTAATTTCAAACAATTTGATATAAAAATCTAAAAAGTTTACAAATGTATTCATGTGTAATATACAATTATTTTTATTTTAGTCAATTTTATAGCTGGAACAGTATTTCATTATTAAAAGTGACATCATCTAATAACTCTAGTCTTCATTGATATAGTTGAAAACTTTTATAGTGAGATTTGTTGCTATACTCTGTCTCAACTAAGTTGATAGTGATGTAGATGATATAAATTACATGAAATCATAAAACCATTGTGAAAGGTGAAATACCCAAGAACTCCAATACACTTGCACACTTACATTATATAATTATCAACTAATGTTGTTTATTGATAAACAACATGATAATACTTTGTTTATTTTAAAACTATTAGTGTATGAAAAAAAATATATACAATAAAGATATAACCACTATTGTATATCAGTATTGATGTCATTATCAGCTTAGATAAGACAGTATAGTTTACTAATCTTAAATTTGCTTTTTACGAGTACAAATATTAAATCAGCCAAAAAGTTTATATAATCTTTTAAATATTATAAACATTTATATTATTATTATTAGATGTTCTGTTTCCTACAACCATAGATACTATAAATATAATATTGCTTTATCTTTCATAGTTATCTTATTGAATTTGTTGTTCTGTTCTGTTTCTGAACAATAAATTTTTCCAACATCACTGCTGTGAAACTAAAGGAAAGAACCTTAATCTAAATACAGTAGAACCTCGAAAACTCGGCCTAATGTGGACCGAAGGGTGGCTGAATTTGTGAAAATGCCGGGTTATCAGGAATGGGGTTAAAAATAATAAGTATGAGTGTTTCCTCAGAAAATACTGTACTGTACTTGTATGTATTGTTTACTTGAGAATATAAAAGAGAATAAACTGCCCAAATACCCTTAAACAAAGGAAAAGTACATCCTTTATGAAGGCATAGAGCCTTTACTACATGAAAATGAAAATTAATGAATACACTGTGTACAATAATTTACCTGATAAGACAGACCTCAGAAAGATACTTTATGAGAGCTTTTATACTTTTATAAAGCTGTCTATAATGAAAATTAATTAACTAAGGATTTTTTTGCCCTGCCAGGGTGTGGCCGAATAATCCGGAGTGCCGGGTTATCGAGAGCTGAGTTTTCGAGGTTCTACTGTATATAAAATTACTTTTCCTGACTGACTGACTGATTCATCATTGCCCAGAGCAAACCACTGAACCTAAAGGTGAAATTTGGTACACAGTTATGGTACATCATAAAAACACGCACTAAGAAGGGATTTTTCGAAATTCCTAGGCGGAGGGGAGAGGGAGAGGATTAAGGCTTAACCAGAACAACTTCTACTGTACTATTTTAGATGTAATATTTTGTTTTTATCTGTGTTTCAGTAGGGTATGCCATGAAAATGTACACTAAGAAGGGATTTTTCGTAATTCCCCACGGAAGGAAGGGAGACAGAGAAAGAGAGAGAGAGAGCATTAAGGCTTAACCGGAAAAACGGCTTCTACTCGACTATTTTAGATGCGATTTTTCGTTTTCAACTACGTTTAATTTTCATTGAATACTTAGATGTATTAAATTGATAACATTTCAGACATTGTTATAAATATTTTCATACATTTCGATTTTTTAACCAAATGTTCAAACTATTTTAAATTNTATCTCGTTACAATTTTCAATATTTATTTTATATTATTTACTAATTAAATTCTATTCCGCTTCGATTTCCAAATTGCTTCAAATACGAAAGAATCTACGATTTTTCGTGTCTTTTGCCAGCTAAATTGTCAAAGACATTCTTATTCCACACACTAATTTCACTCTGTAAATGCATTTTTTTTTTTCGCTCTGTAAATGAATGTTTTTATCAAAGCAAGAATTGGCATTTAGAGGGCATATGGAATATATTGGATCTAATAACAGAGGTAATTATAATGAACTTGTTTATTTATTAAGTACGTCAGATAAATAATCTATTAAAAATACATTTAAAGAATTAACTGATTGCCCCTGGATGTCGGCTTCTTATAGGAACACAGCTTCCCTATCATCAAATGTCACCGCCCGCCCCTGCAACTTATGGCGTATGAATCGGGTTTTCTACGCCAGAGGCTGTACATGTTCTGATTCTGATTATGCTACCCATGGTAAATCAGAGGGATGAAATTGGGTTTTAGTCAAGATCTTTCATAGTAATAGGCTAACATCAATAATAAATGCTGAAAGAAGACACCAGACTTCCAATCTAGGGGAACCACTTCGAATTCAAGTCGATGTAGAAATTTTCATGGATACGTTGGGCCTCCTCACTTACCACTCTCCATCTGTATCATGGGCTAGGCCATACTCATGATGAGCACGGAAAAGAGCCACTTAACAAAGATTAGAAAATGCTGGTACTGTTTACAAAGAGGTGAGTGATTCTGTATATTTTTAAAAAGACAACACAAATTTTGGAAATATTTTTAATATAACTCATTCAAAATAATAAATTAGTAATTAATAATCTATTTAAAAATTAACACAAAATTAATGTACTTAAAGATTAATTATTTAAAAGTCAATTTTGTTATCGGTTAGTCGCTTTCTCTGGATTTTCGTACAGGTCTAATTACGTAAATTTTTTTTGTTTCACGGAGAAAATCTCTCCCAGTCTTGAAATTCTCGATTGCATCTGGTGTATTTTCTAATCTTAATTGACGATTCGGTCGATTATCCTTCGACAATGAATCCATTTTCTCCTTCACGAAATCGTCTTCTTCATCCATCCATTTTTCGCTGGTTTTTTCCAAAATTGTGCAGAGATCCACTCTATATTTTTCAAGTTCCTCGCGAGTCGATGCTCTTAAGACAATATGATTTCCTTTAAAATAATCGTCGGAATTTATACCACGTTCCATAAATGATCTCTCATATGCATCTCCAGAATGAGTAACTCGGTTCGAGTTCTTGAAGCTTCCTTTATTCATATGAAGAGTTGGTGATAAGTTATTATATTTGATGGTATGGACCGTGTACAGATCGTGGGCTTGATTGCTTAATGAAATGTTGTTAACTGAGCTCTTTTCTGATCCACATTCCTTACTGGAATCATCATTTTCCCGTGTTTTTATATCTTGCAATGTTCGAAAGTCGCAAGTATCCTCTTCGTATGAACTGTTTCTCTTTTGGTATTGGTAGAAGCTGGCTTCTTCCTCTTTCTTAGATGAGCCGCTGTCTTCAGGACTTTTAACTTTGGTCATCGTCTGTACAGTTTCGGTCCCATTCGACGAAGAAGAATGATACTTGTCCTTTTCGGTTTTCGGTGACGTTGATTTTGGAAATAATAACGGAGTTGTTTCTTCAATATCTTCGTCTTCCAATGTTTCTTCCATTAGCAAAACAGTTTCTTTGCATTCCTCTTCCGAACTGACGTGAAAAGACGATTCTGGTATCTGTTTTTCATGCTTATCATGCGGAAGCGAATCAATATCGACGTAAAAGATGGACTTTGGTTGGTGGAGTACTTCGCATTTCTCTGGTTTACATTGTTTCTCGTGAAATATCTTAAAGATGTACACGAGCGCAGTAATAAGTAAAAATATCAATGATATTATAAGGTAAGTCACCAATACGTTGGATATGGCACGGCCGAATTTTTTCATTATGATCTTCATTTCTTGTTCTGTGAGCTTTCTGTTCACTTTCAAAGTTTTGAGACTGTCAGAAATTTTATTTTCGCCACCTTCCTGCTTCGTTGGACCAATTAACATTGTATTAAGACGATTTTTATCGTCGTTCTTCTCCGAATATTCGATGTTGTTATCCAATTTTCTCGTTTGTTTCGTTCCTCTTTTTTTGCTCGATCTCTTCATTTACATATTTCCGCATAAAATAAGAATTTTTGTATTTTTTGTAATTTTCTATAAAAGAAGAAAGCTTCGAAACTTCATTTCTTGAATTTTTAATTATTTTTGGTTTAGTTACACCACGCTTTTCTTCAAAGTCGTCATGATCTTGATCCTTGTCCATTGGCGATTCTTTATTTCTTTGAGTCGACGGTCCCACGAGCCAGTCCAATTTTCGAATTTTTGACTTGCTTCGTGGAACAAGGACACCATTTTTGTTTCTAAACTGTGTTGAAAACACATTCTTCAAGTCTTCGTTATAAGCAACGTCCTCCTCCGTTGGAGAACCGAGGAGCAACGAGCTTGGATCACTCACGAATTTCTTTTGTAGACGTATCCTATAGTTTTGCCCCACAGGAGCGTAAATTAAAATAAATAATGGTAAAATTACCATTAATATAACGCATATATTCATCTTTTATCTCGATTCGAAAACACTTTCAGAACTATTTACTTCTGTAAATATTGTTAGACAATACTAACATTGTTTGCATTATTGAAAACGCAATAATGAAATCATTTACGAAACTTGATGTATATTAATATTTTTTCAGGATTCATAGATACAATTTATTTTGTGTTATTTATTTCTGTGTTTGTTTCTGTGTTCTGCGGAGACTTGAGAGACTTTACTACGTCATCCAAACGAAGTAGAACTGATTCTTCTGCATCAAACAAGAAAAGAAAAACTTTATCTTTGGAATGTAAAGTTAACATTATTAAAGACTTCGATACAAAAATGAAAATTTGTGAATTGACAAAGGAGTTTGATCTACCGGAATCGACGGTCAGAACAATTATAAAAGGTAAAGAAAAAATTTTCGAAGCTGTGAAAAATGCTCAATCTTTAAATTCAAGCATCATTCGTAAACATCACAGTATTATCGCTGAGATGGAAACAATGTTAAAATTATGGCGTAATAATCAAGTAAATGTGAAAAATTGTAAAATAATATAGGCCTAATTTGTTATACATATGTATCATTTTTTTCTAAATTATTGTTTTCTTTAGTCTCCGGCCCCAATTAAAAGTTATTTGTATGTATTTATATGCGAAATTATACCGACTTATGCGAATTCGACTTACGCGCTTACCGCTTGGTTCCACCTATCGCGTAAATTTGGGGTATTACTGTACTCCAAAAAATTATTATATCATATATTTAGTGTTTAATCAAATTATGAATGTTTAAACATCACTAATAAAAGCAATTATGTAAATATTTTCTCCTATTTATTTTGGGGTCTACTTTGTGTGTTTAAAACAAGCTTATTATAAAAGAATGTTTAGAAGTTTGAATTAAAACAGCATTATCATATAATAACCTCCCTACACAAGAATTTGCTATAGAAACAATTTTTTATTGCTAATTTTTCAATATTAAGTAAACTAAATACTCTCTAAGTATAAATTTACAATGTTAAAAATGAGCATATATTTCTCTCTTGATTGAAACACACTGTAAAATAAAATAAATGAGAACATATTACCTCATATTATTTACAATCTTGTTTGAGATATGTAAATGAAAAGATATTTTGTATGCATCAATGTATAAATCCACGATGCAAAAATATATTAAGCAAACACATGCTACAATTATTTTTCAATGTCAAAATTTTAAGTAAATTATACTTAATTAGTATAAAAAAAATGATCATATTTATTTAAATGATCTACAAAGGATAAAAACACAATTGAAACATAAATTTGACATTTTATAAGTGAATGAGACAACACTTATGTAAACAAATTTAGTCATAAATCTTACATTAAAAGTGAGTATTAGCATATATAAGTATATTTGAGAGACGTCATTCATATTTAAAAAGATACATTTATTATATATAAATGTGTAATTTTAATTATAGGTCTGTCAGTTATATTTGATAATGAAATCTAAATATTCTTAATACTTTCTGGTGAGTCTACTATCATATTAAATTCAAAGATTTTATCTTAAATGATGAATTATGATATATATCATAATTAATACAAATGTTGATTTATATGGATTTGGTTTCATGAATGAATTATTTACAAATGATTAGCTATCAAAATATTTTCCTAAAAAGATTTCTCTAATATAAATCAGTCTGTTCCAAAAATTGGAAGAAAACCTGACAGTTTTTTTTAATAGACATTCCAATGATTTGAATATCATATTTTATGAAGTGTCCATGATTTGTTTTAACAAATCAAGCTATAAAACGAACTATAGGTTACAAAATTTAGTACGGAAAACCACAGCAATGTTATAGGTCATCGTGGAAGAGAATTATCGTTTCCTTTTAGATGAACTGGGAGAAAGATCTCTCTGACGTTTCCTAGTGCATATCTGTATGTCTGACTCATCTGTTTTGCTATACAAATCCTGTTTCGCATTTTCTTTTCTGCTATTCCTGTAATTAAAACAAATAAATAAACATTCCAAATTTTTAAGTAACATTAATTTAATTCAAATGTAAATAACTTATAATAATCAGGCCAAATTTTAATAAATGATAAATGTTGAATTTTTTCAGGTTATAATTATGTATAAGAAAAATAATAGGGTCCATTTTAATTTTAAAATTATGTAATTATTAATATTAGTACAAGAGAGCAGTCTAAATGCCTACATTTTAATCAATGAAATAATGTAAGTTGATGTGATGTCTAGACTAAATAATATCTGAAAAAATCTGGCCTTAAGTAAATAATGTAAATTTAAAAAAGTTTGCCATTTTGAATAAATACAGTTAGATAAAATTAATTTAAATATTATCAATTAATGTTACAATTTGTTTTGTGAAATTTATTAACTTATAACAGTAAACAATCAGACTAAATCATTCTTTAGTTGTATTGTGTTACATTGTCAGTATTGTATTGTAAAAATTGTCTTTATTTTATAAACTTATAAAAACTATATTTTATCTTACCTTACTTCTTTTGAACTATCTGGTAAAGGATTTAATTCAGAAGTTTTGGTTTTTATATCTGTATTACTGGTTTCATTTTCAGTACATGCAGGAATGGAAGCCAAATCACTGTCTTTATTAGAAGAATGTGTGTCAAGAGATTTTGATCGAGTCCGTCTGCCAGAATTTTCTTTTTTGTCGTGTACAGTTTCTTTCAATTCTTGATTTTCTTTTACTTTTTTTGCTTTACTCTGTTCAATTTCTAAATTCTTTGAATGCTTTCTTTTTGTCTTCTTACTATTCATTTCAGCTTCTTCATTATCACTGTTAGCAGAAGAAGAATCATCACTTTGTTTAGCTTCTTGATTAGAAGCTTTATCTGAATGATTGGAAGAATCAGAATCAGCACTACTTGAACTACTGCAAGACCATTTGCTATTATTAAAGATAGAAGAAAATTCATCCGATGCATATCGAGGATTAATTTTTCTCTGTCTCCGAAGCTCCCATTTAGGTTCTGTTTTAGGCTTAGAGCTCAAATTTTCTTCTTTGCTACTCTCTGTAATTTAGCATAAAATTATTATATTATAAAATTATCAAATTATCAAAATATAAACATTTTAAAATATTCAGAAATTTCAGATGTATATCAAGAGATTTTAAAATCATTTTTTAAAGCATTACTTTTTTTTACCAAGACGACAAAAGAAATCTATCATGCCTCTCATTTGCATTTTTTATTTTAATTTCAAACAATTTGATATAAAAATCTAAAAAGTTTACAAATGTATTCATGTGTAATATACAATTATTTTTATTTTAGTCAATTTTATAGCTGGAACAGTATTTCATTATTAAAAGTGACATCATCTAATAACTCTAGTCTTCATTGATATAGTTGAAAACTTTTATAGTGAGATTTGTTGCTATACTCTGTCTCAACTAAGTTGATAGTGATGTAGATGATATAAATTACATGAAATCATAAAACCATTGTGAAAGGTGAAATACCCAAGAACTCCAATACACTTGCACACTTACATTATATAATTATCAACTAATGTTGTTTATTGATAAACAACATGATAATACTTTGTTTATTTTAAAACTATTAGTGTATGAAAAAAAATATATACAATAAAGATATAACCACTATTGTATATCAGTATTGATGTCATTATCAGCTTAGATAAGACAGTATAGTTTACTAATCTTAAATTTGCTTTTTACGAGTACAAATATTAAATCAGCCAAAAAGTTTATATAATCTTTTAAATATTATAAACATTTATATTATTATTATTAGATGTTCTGTTTCCTACAACCATAGATACTATAAATATAATATTGCTTTATCTTTCATAGTTATCTTATTGAATTTGTTGTTCTGTTCTGTTTCTGAACAATAAATTTTTCCAACATCACTGCTGTGAAACTAAAGGAAAGAACCTTAATCTAAATACAGTAGAACCTCGAAAACTCGGCCTAATGTGGACCGAAGGGTGGCTGAATTTGTGAAAATGCCGGGTTATCAGGAATGGGGTTAAAAATAATAAGTATGAGTGTTTCCTCAGAAAATACTGTACTGTACTTGTATGTATTGTTTACTTGAGAATATAAAAGAGAATAAACTGCCCAAATACCCTTAAACAAAGGAAAAGTACATCCTTTATGAAGGCATAGAGCCTTTACTACATGAAAATGAAAATTAATGAATACACTGTGTACAATAATTTACCTGATAAGACAGACCTCAGAAAGATACTTTATGAGAGCTTTTATACTTTTATAAAGCTGTCTATAATGAAAATTAATTAACTAAGGATTTTTTTGCCCTGCCAGGGTGTGGCCGAATAATCCGGAGTGCCGGGTTATCGAGAGCTGAGTTTTCGAGGTTCTACTGTATATAAAATTACTTTTCCTGACTGACTGACTGATTCATCATTGCCCAGAGCAAACCACTGAACCTAAAGGTGAAATTTGGTACACAGTTATGGTACATCATAAAAACACGCACTAAGAAGGGATTTTTCGAAATTCCTAGGCGGAGGGGAGAGGGAGAGGATTAAGGCTTAACCAGAACAACTTCTACTGTACTATTTTAGATGTAATATTTTGTTTTTATCTGTGTTTCAGTAGGGTATGCCATGAAAATGTACACTAAGAAGGGATTTTTCGTAATTCCCCACGGAAGGAAGGGAGACAGAGAAAGAGAGAGAGAGAGCATTAAGGCTTAACCGGAAAAACGGCTTCTACTCGACTATTTTAGATGCGATTTTTCGTTTTCAACTACGTTTAATTTTCATTGAATACTTAGATGTATTAAATTGATAACATTTCAGACATTGTTATAAATATTTTCATACATTTCGATTTTTTAACCAAATGTTCAAACTATTTTAAATTCGAATTTGTTATTGCATATTGGTTCGATTATAGAATGATTGTAAACATTCCAGAAAATTGATCAAATTGAAAATAGTTCATTTGATTCTCAACAATTCTCATCATTCTCAGTGGTAGGTGTTATATAAGAATTACTATGGTTGTTGAAATACTGAATATAAATGGGGTTTGCTTGCAAAATCTGCATGGGCGAAGCCGCGGGTAACAGCTAGTTGAACATAAGATCAGAGATTTACTTCAGGATAACATATTTAAAGAAATTATGATAAATAAATGAGAGCTTGGAAAGTTTTAAATGGTTTTGTATTAACTTTCTAAGAAACACCAAGTCTCTTAACTATAAGGAGGGTGTCCAGGAGTTGCTGGATTCATATAAGAAAATGGAATGCCACATGCCACTTAAACTATGCCTTTTGCATTCCCATTTAGAATTCATTCCCTCCTAAAGTCAATCATAAGCAAGAAGAGCGATTTCACAAGAAATAAAACAGTTAGAGAAACATTTTTAAGGCTTCTGGAATGAATCAATGCTGGCTGACTACTGTTGGATGCCCAATTGCCCAATTGAAAAAAAAAAAAAAAAGTCAGCTAAACAACATTTCAGCACTTAAATCAGTGTAATATACTTCTCAATTTTAGTCACTGTCTGGCTATGGTTGTTGCTGCTAAAGAAAATTAACAACTAACTTTTTTTTTATTTTAGTAATTTTTTTCTTTCTGGAACTTATGGCTAATACATCTGAGAAATGAAAAACTTTCCAGTTTCTCAAGAATCATCTACTAAAATTAGAAAAAAAAAATGTGAAGATAAAGGGATTATGAGTAACCTGGCAAAACAATTAATTCTTTCGTATAAGGTGCAACAAAAGTATAGAATCACTCAAAAAATTGGTCTTTTGGGGTCAAAACATGCACTAATAGGTAGAAATAAATTTTTTAATGTATAATTCAGCACCTAACTTATAAAAACATGATTTTAGGAAACTAATTCATGGCTGACTGCGAAATAACGATAAAGTCAATTTACAAACTGTCACATAATTATAGAATTGCCAATTTCTTGCAAGTTTTACTTGTAAAAATATTTTTTTTTATTATGCCTCATGGTACCAATTTAACAAATTTTGAGAAAGAGCTAATTGTAGCTTTGAGTAGCACTGGTTCAAATCATCAGATAGTAGCGAACAGCATCAAGCATTTGAAAAAGATAGTTCAGCATTATTTGTCAAATCCTACAAATTATGGACCAAAGTGTAGAAGTGGACGTCCTTCAAAGCTTACCCTGAGAGACCACAGATGAATTACTAATGCAGCCTCTAATTCCATTGCATCCACATACAAAATTTGGGACAATTTGGATATTCACGTACATCACGAAACCATTCAAAATGTTTTACACAGCAACAACAGCATTGTTTGGTCTTGAATGAGAAGTGCCCCTGCTCTTAAGCCTGAGCACAAAGCTGCCCAATTTGATTTTGCTAGGAAAAATATGGCCACTCAATCAAATAAGGTAAGTTTTTGTTTCGTTTAAACCTATTGTGCTAGCACAAGAAATAACAACCTTTTTGTCATATAGGTAATCTTTTCAAACAAAAAAAAATTAATTTGGATGGGCCAGATGGTTTAGCATTCTACTGGTGTGATTTACGAAAAGAGACCAAGTACTTTTCGCGAAGAAATTTTGGTGGCGGGAGTGTTATGGTTTGGGGTGGTTTTCCTGCATTGGGAAAATTGGATTTGGCATTTGTTATCTGTTGCAAGGACAGTGCTGACTATCAGCAAGTTCTGGAGAACAAATTGCTGCCATAAAAGTGTAGATTCAGAAAAATTCCTGTTATTTTCCAACAGGACAATGCATCTATCCATGTATCACAAGATATGAAACAGTAGTTTGAAAATAAACAAATTGGCCAGTTCGTTCTCCTGATTGTAACCCTATAGAAAACGTTTGGGAGATCTTGGTTGGCCAAATTTATGACCAAAATTGTCAGTATGTTGACACTGAACACTTAAAACAAGCAATTGCCACAGTTTGAAACTCCCTTGAGGCAATCATAAAAAAACCTTAATTTGGATGGGCCAGATGGTTGATAGCATGCCAAATCACATTTTCGATGTTATTAGTAAAGGCAGTATGCAAATAAATTACTATATTTTGTAGTATTTAATTCTCTTTGCATTCATTTACTAGTCGATTCTATACTTTTGTGGTGCTTAAAATCAGTTTGTTTTACAATTTCTGCTGTTTGCTGCAATATAGGAAACTATGAGTTTTGACAAATTATGTTTTCATAAATCCTGAACAATATAAGAATGGTAGCTATATCATATGTATAATTCCTAACCTTCATATAGTAAATTTGCAGCAGTTCTATACTTTTTGGGTCACCTTATTCCAAGCTGAAAAAGAAATTGATGTTCAGAAGGTATTCATTTTTGCTTAAATTGCAAATTTCTTCTAATCATAAATTACAAATTCTTTTAGAACAACTGTCAAATATCCAGGTGTGGGTAGAAAACACTTGTAGATTTAGAGTCTCTGCTCTTGGTACTTGAAGAGGAAAGGAAAAATGTTTATACTAGTTTACATAATAGTAAATCATTTGAAGACATGAAAAAGTGTTGTCTAAACTTATTTGAGAGACTGTCAAAGTTGAAAGATAAAGAAAAAATTATATAGTGATTTCTGGTCTTCAGATAATGGAAGTGATGATGATGCTGTAGTTTTGATGCAAAAAGGTTAAAAGTGTCTGAAGTATATAGAGTTGGTAAACTATCACATTTACAAAAAAGACACATGTGAGCTAACAAATCCAGAAGATGACAGAAAAATTTATAAGAATACAAAGAATTTAAAAGGTACTAATATTTTTATAAATGATTATTATTCTGTAGCCATTTGAATGATTAGAAAGAAATTAAGATTATATATTAATGAATTACATATAAAAGGCACTAGAAGTATTAAATTATGTTATAATAGATTAATAGTAGATGATATAATTTATGCATGTAATTTAAATAACAAAATTTATCAAGTTAAAAAAGAAAGATATTTTTGTATTGAAATCTATATTACATCAGTCTAGAGTTGTAATATTATTATTAATAGATGACATTAAAATAGATCTAATGGACATTAAAAATATCCTCTTAGTTGTCTCAATGTTCTTCCTGACGATAAGTATGATAATTTTTTCATAGATGTACTGGAGATTTTGGATAAATATATAAATATGACTACAATAATGTTATTTTATGTGAAGATTTTAATGCGAGAATGGAGTTACCAATATCATCGCTAGAGTAAAATCCCTCAAGTGGCAGTGGGCTGGACATATTGCAAGAAAAACTGACCATCGTTGGACATCTGAAGTTCTTGATTGGATACCAAGAGATTGGAAATGACCAAGAAGACATCCTCACACTCAGTGGGTTGATGAGATCAAGAGGCATCTTGGCACAACATGGAAGCAAAGTGCTCAAAACAAAAGATTGTGGAAGAGGCTTGGGGAGACCTTCATCCTGCAGTGGATTGATAACGGATGATGATGATGATGATATATATGATACAATAACTATTATCAAGGGAAATTTCTGAGTCCCTAAAACATGAAGTGCCAAGAGAGAGTTCACAAAAATTAGTTCCATACCTCTTTATGGGGTTAGATATCCTAGAGAACAAAATGTAGTGCACAAATTATAATTAAATCCTCGGAAGAGACTCCCCGGAGGGGGATTGCGGCTTTTATTGTTTCGCAGTGGGAAAACTGTCATGTGACTAATTAGGTGCGAGGTAAAAGGTGTGCAGGGAGGTCAAAGTTGTCCCCAGAACTCAAATAAAATGACAAAATTGTATGTTAACTATCAACTTTTAAGTTCGTAGTGTGGGAATATCGTCGAGACGGGAGAATGTTTACTTTGAAAAAAAGGGGAGGTGGAAATTTCTCCCTCTTTCAAGGTGGTTTCCTCTCTATTTTCTATGGGAATTTAATGGTTTTTAGGTAAAACAGGACATTGATTGGAAAAAAAATCAGTAGAAAATCAAGATTTCACAAATATGTCTAATACGATACCTAAATAAAATAATTTCTCCTCAATTTTAATTACTACTTTTAGTTTCATCTTTAATTATGTATCAAGTTATTTTTGATGTAGGATTATACAACTACATTACTTTTATGTATATTTTCAGCATTTTTTTAAATAATAATCATAATTTAAAATCCTTATGTAATAGAAAACTGAAAACAGTTTTGTAATCATCGTGAAAAGTTGGTCTAGAAAGTACTCTGAACACAAATATTCATAATATATTTGTGATAACTAGAGTGATGATGATATGAACTTTTAATATTACCTCAGTAATACAATCTGAAAATTTATTTTCAAATTGAAATAATGATTTCAGCTCATTAATCTTAATGTTGATGATTTAGAATCTTTCTAAAATTGCTTTGTATTTTTATGTAAAAAGAAAAGTAAGTTTACATTCATACCTTGTAGTACCTCCTGATTTTGATCACCCAATGCAGAATTTTCACACTTCTGAAAAATTTGAATAAATTTCTATTCAGTTTAAAATAATAATTATATTAAGAGTAAATTAGTTATATGTAAATTTTAAAAATTTGTACTTATAGGGGAGCACATTTATAATCTCACAAGGTATCAGACAAAAATTACAACTAAAAAGACAAATTAAAATCTAGGTCAAGATGCAAAAAAAAAAAAAAAATTAATAATATACAAACCTCAGACTTATTATCACTACCACTTTCTTTACTTTTGTCATCTTCAATGACAACTTCACTATTCTCTTTCTCATCACTATCCTGGGATTTGGTTAATTTCTTTACTAAAGATAAAATTTAGTAAAACAGATAAAAATAAAGATATCAATTTACATTTCAAATTAAATACTATAATTATTTTTGACTTACTCTCTTTCAATGGCACTTTCTTCCTCTCTTTGTGAGTAATATCATCTTTTGGTGGTAATTCAACTTCTTCACTGGAAGACAGACTGATACGGTCATCAAAAGAAGATAAATCACTGGTATGAACTGAACTGATTGTCACATCAGACCAAGCACCTTCCTCTTCATCTCCAGCTGCCAAATCACGTAGGCCATCCTAACAGAAAAATAAATACAATCAATATTAAATAGAAATCCTCAAAATAATTAAAATATTAATTTTCACTTACCTATACCAACCTGGGAGCTTTTTGATATATTTTTGTCATTATCCATTGACTGCAAATCCATCAGATCTTCCTTTATTAGCTGAATTTCATCTTGTTCTGTAATCTGACTACTTAATTCTGATTTCTGCTTTTCTTTTTTAAAACCTTCAAAAATATCTTCAGAACTGCTTTCTTCTTGTGATGGTGATATCCCTAATATTGGCCTCGAAGTCTCTAAAATATCATTTTCTTTGCTGCTTCTTGATTCTGCCTCACTGCATACATCAGGACTAAAGGTACTCATACAAGTTGATTCTGTTTCACACTCTTTACTATCAGAACTACTCCTAGATGTTTTAATATTTTCAGATTTATTCTGAATATCAGCAGAAATTTTTGACTTTACATCATACTCTGATTTTGATGATTTACTGACTGATTTCATTACTTGTCCTTCAAATTTTAATTTTGAAATATTTTTGTCTTTAATCTTTTCATTCTTTTTTTCTTCTTTTTTGGTTACATCATATATTTTATCAATCTTATATTTTTTATCAGAATTCTTTTTCTCTGAAACTTTATCAAGTTTACATTTTTCTTTTTGAAGTTTTAATTTCTTTTGATTTTCATGTTCCTTGTTAGCATCATTTTCCTTTTTCTTTCTCTTTTCCAAAAGTTTATTATGTAGTTTCTCTTTACTCGTTTCAGATTTTTTAAGGCTTGAAACAGATTTAGATTCAATTTTATTTTTTTTATTTTCTGAATGTTGATCAGACTTATCATCTTGTTTCTCAACTGATTTTGATTTATCAATATTCTTTTTATCAGGTGTTAAATATTTCTGTTTATCTAATGAATCTGTTTTCAAAGTTATATTTTTGCTATCTTCTGGCTGTTTCAATTCAATACTTTTAGATTTTATTTCACTCTTGGAATGCAATTTCATTTTAGTATCTGAATATTTGGTTTTTTCTGAAGAATGTTTGATAATCTTTTCTTGAAATGATTTCACTTTAGATTCACTAACTGGAGATTTAGTTTTTTCGTTATCATTTTTACTTTTCAAATCATTTTTAACTTTAGATTTATCACCTTTGGCTACTTTCTCTGGTGTTTTAAGGGATTTCACATTAGAATCTGATTTGTTTTTAATATCACTTTTGTGAGGTTTTATATCTTTATTATGAGAAGATGATTTAATCTTTGAAACTGATCCTTCATGTTTATGAAGTTTTCCATGACTTTCTTGTGATTTTCCCATTTTCATTTTCATTGAATCTGAACTTGATTTACTTTCTACAGACTTCTTTTTATCAATTTTTTCAGAATCATGTTTTTTCAAATCTTTAGTTTTTGATGAATCTATTTTTGACTTCTCTCCAAATTTGTGCTTTTCTAATCTTTTATCTTTTTCATTCTTAGTTACTTGAGAAACAGTTTTCTTACTAGTTTCAGTTTTCAACTGTTCTTTTTTATCATTTGCATTCTTTGGTGTTTCTTTATCACTACATTCAGATAAAGTTCTGTCTCTCTTTATTTTAACTTCTTTATCTTTTTCTTTTAAAGCCTTGGGTTTTTCCATTAAAGACTGATTATCCTGTTCAATTTTTTTCTCAACAGTACCTTTATTTTCTTCAATTTTTTTGTTATCATTTAAATCCTTATTTACTGACTGTAAATTATCCGTTTGATCAATTTTAATTTCCAATTCAACATTTTCATTATTTCCTCCTTTACTTTCAGTTGGAGTTTCGTCTGCTTTCAATTCACTGTTTAACTCATTTGTTGACAATTGTATTTTTTCTGCAACTGTAGATTGATTATCATCATCTATAAATATTTATTATATAATTAATATTAAAATTTCAAATTGTTACTTATTCCTCTGATAACCTTTAGTGATAAGCATAAATTTTGCTCAAGAGAACAATCATACAAGGAACATACCAGTGTCATAGCCTTATGTTAAGTTCATTTTAATTTTATTTAGCAACTTATCTACACAAAGTCGATTCATCCAGTACTCATTAACATAATTCTAATAAAGTCAAAGATTTGTAATAAAGCACTGAAGAGAGATAAGAGACCTAAATTGCATTTCCTTGTACAATAAAGTTAAAATAGTCAATCACTGCTGTGTCCTTGTATGCTTTGCTCTCTTCAGCAAAATTTATACTTATCACTAATGGATGAAATTTCAAAGTTTATTTTACTTAAATAAAAATATATTGTATACATAATTTTAAATATATATTAAATAATAATGAAAACTGTCAAAAATTATCATATAGAAAGAAGAACTTTTATTAAAGTTTCAAAGGATAATGGAAAATTATGCATATAAGTTATACTATTTATGCTTGCATATATTCAGAATAAGTCATTAAAATTTGAACTAGGATTATCATACATAAATAAAATTATATTATTTAAGATAATCCTAGTTCAGATTTTAATGACTTATTCTGAATATATGCAAGCAAATCAAAAATTAAAACAGTAATAATACTAAGTTTAGTCAATATTAATAGACTAATATACTGTACAAGAATAAAGGTCTGTTAATTTTGATTTTTGTTCTATATATTCTACTTAAAAAGATCCTGTAATATTGATCTAGGTTATGAAATTTCTAACAACTATTATTAAAAATATATCATTCCTGAAAACGACAAAATTAACACAACACTTTAATCCTATGAATCCAACAAATTTTGAATATCTGACGTTCCAATATTGCAGATCCTGAGGAAGGCCATTAAATATAGCCAAAAACATTAGTTTAATTAAAAAAATTGCTAGAAAAAGAGTGGAAGATTTTATAATACTTATTTACACTTTAATCTACATAAATATACAGTATCTGTAAGACTAAAACATATCTCAAATCTTGCTTTTTATTTTTTTCACTTGTATAAAATAATTTTGTGAAAATTCCAAATTTCCTGTTATAATTGTTCACTGGACAATGTTTTCCATTTTTGGTGGTCAATTGTTGAGGTAAAAAATTACTGATGTTGCAAGAAGGAAAAAAGCATAATTCCAAAAGAGATATCAAATTAATATAAGAACTTACATAAACCTAGTTAAATTGGAATATTGTGACAAATATATAAAAAATAATTTGAATAAAGTACCTAATCATCTTTATAAATTTTGATATTAATTCTCAATATCACTAATATCTAATGTCAATAATGATATCAGCCAGTACAGTGGGTGATCGGTTAATGAACATAATCTGTTCCAAGACTGTATTCGCTATCCGAATTGTTTGTTAACCAATTATCAATATACCATAGATTTTTATGGGAATTTGATTAATCTGTTCTGGAAACCCCCCCCAAAAATAAAAAATTATATACTTTCTTACTACGTTTATTTATATGTAATAATAAAAATACATATATACACAATCTTGCATTTTTATTAGTCATATTTTTTTCCATTTGTGGGTGTTAAAAAATCTGTCCAATGTCGATTGCTTTTCTCTCTCCTTCAGGATTTTTCAGAAGTAATTAATAGCACTGTCGTTATTAACAGGATTTTTCAGAAGTAATTAATAGCACTGTCATTATATTATATCCCTAAGCCTATTAACCTCAATCTGGTTTGGTTGCCATTCTAAGACCATTGTTCTGACATCCTCCCACTTCAAAACATCTTTAATAGCAGCATTGTTCAGAAGAAAACATATCTCACTGAGTTTCTTGGTGTTTTTCATTTAAGAGTTCTTGGCATTTTTCTGTTGTCACATCAGTTTTAAATTCCATTATGAGCTCTTCAATGTTCTTCATTTTTCAGATGTGATTTTTGTTACTCCTTTAGCTGCTTGAGTCTTCTTGATTATAGTATTCTTGATCAGTATCTTTCTCAGATAAGATTGAACTGTGGCGTACTGTAGACCTGTTCAAGCCAGCAACATCAGACATCTTCTGCCCACTCTCTACCTTTGCTATTATACTCTAATCTTTTCAAAATAAAAACTGATGCAAAACTTAACACATGCCCGCCTGACAGTCTCACAAATACTATAAAAAATATTCTTTCTGTCAGAAAAATAAAAGGTTGGAATTACAAGGGAGAGTTTCAAAGTTCGGAGGAATACTATCTAATCAGTATATACTGGGTTGATCATCAATATCGACGTCTCCCGCACTCCAAAAAGTTCCAAATTGTTGCTTGAAGACAAGGGAAGACCAATTGGTATTCATTATTTTATGTCACTTCTTCTTGTGTTTGTTCTGTGAGGTGTTTGTTATCCAAATATGTGTGCATTGTCTGAACATAAAAATCTTTTGTGAAAGTGTTTGTTATCCAATCACCCACTGTAATTACTTTTCTGGTTTTGATATTGAAAAATATAATATCAATAGTACAATGGTGCATTTTCCTATGGGCAAAAAGGACAATTGATGACAATCCTGTGGGCAAAGATTGGTTTGAGGCCCCTTGTTGGTGGAGTAAATCAATCTTTTATAAAAAACTATTTCCCAAAAAATTCCCCCGAAGAAAAATGCCAGAAGTCAACACTGTACATGGGACCTCCTAATTCAAATTTACTTGAACTCCATGAAGTTATAATGTACCACTACAATAATCAATTATTCAATAATATCAAACATCGCTAATACACCAATATTTACTAGTAAGTGAACATGTGCAGTTTACTTCACAATACAAATTAGATGGGCAATTATTACAGGAAATATAATAAGTTCATTTCAAAATAAGATGTCTATCCAGTGACATTATAATAAAATCACTCATATCAGCTGTAGAATTTAAATGATATTTATTGAAAATTAATATTAAAAATCTTCACTGAATCAGCATCAACAGATCAGTTCTTACTGATATTTCCAACAGATGGGCTTTGAATTTCAAATGCATTCTTTGCATTTGAAATTACAAAGCCACCTCTCTCAAAGAGATTTCTTACACTTATAGACTTCCATCCAGAAGACAGGATAGGCATTTCAGAACTTTGTTGCCATTGAGCAAAATCTTGTAGTAGCGTATGTTTTATGTTGTATAATTAAAAACAACAAAGTGATTTTTTTCTTTGCAACAAAGTCACAATCATTTCTATTATTTCACATTCACAGTATGATCTCTAAAATGTCACAGTAACAGATATTATCAATTATCATGAGCAATAATTTGCCAGTTTGACTTCCAGTTTCCTGACAGTTTTTTCAAATATAAAATCTTTTAAGACTAGTTTCAAATCAAGCATATGAATGCATTTATCTTTAGTTATTAGATCATCTAATAAACTATTTCATTCTGTCATTATATGTAAAAATGTTATTTCAGCAAATATGTATTCATAATTGTTCCAGCAATTTTCCACAAATTAGATGAATAAATCATATCTTTTGTTTCAAAAATTTATCTTTGGCAACAGTTTTTATTCTATACAATTTTAAAATTTTGATATATTTTGTTGTTTTGATAAATTTGTTAATTCATATCAGAAAAATGCTTGTTAATAAACATTTCTGAACTAAACAGGCACAAATTCTTTATTGTCTCAACTATATACTGGCTAACCAAAATTTCCCAGTATATAGAAAGATGTCAGGATTCTACATTATCAGATTGTGCAGAATCAAATGCCATTCAGATTTTAAATATAGAATGTTTTAATTTTTTACATAGTTTATTTGTTAAATTTATTATTTTTCTATGCTTATTTTGTGTAAATAAAGTTTAGTTCTGAATTTGTACATTAAATTTACATCTCTGAATTGTATTTTGGTCTACTGTATTGGAAGGGAAGTAGCCTAGTGGCATATTCCTCCTCTGGATGTCCCATGGTGCCATCTTACCCAATGCCATAAGAAAAAGTTAAATAACAAAGAAAATATTAATATTTATATTCTATAGTATAAAACTGTTAGTAAATAAATTTATTTATATGTCTAAGAAAAAAGAAATTTACCTGTCTTAATAGTCGAATTGGTTTCGGATAATAGTTCATTTTCACTAGATTTTGGTTCTTCTTGTGGTTCAGGTGGTTTTATTTCTGAAACTTTATCACAATTATTATTTTCAGGTGGAAGAGGTGGTGGAGGTGGTGGTGGTGGTGGAGGTGCTGATGTTGGTGCTAGTGCAGATGCTGGTTCAGGCTGAATATTATTTAATCCCAAATAATCTTTCACAATTGTTTCAATTTTTGGATAGAATACTTGATAAATTTTAGGAGTTACAACCTGTTCTACTAAATGATCCATACCCCATGCTAACATACCAGACCTAAAAAGAAAAAATATGTTTATTTTCATTATAATAAATAGTAGAACCAATGCAAAGTATTTTAAACACATAAATGATATAACAGGATAGAATATACTAATAAGAATATATTTGCAATTCTTTTGAAATAATTCACAATGCTAGCAAATAAAATAAAATTTTTAAAAATTATAGGATTTTTGAGAAGAAATTATATTTGAAAAATTTTATTCTTATTTTTTCACCATTACACATTCAAGAAGACTTTTATTCTGCTAATACAAAACGGTTCATGTATTTTTAATATCGCTTTATCATTTTAAGTAGATGTACAAGAATTTTACTATGTCTCTATAATCACCTTATTCTTCGGGTTTGTAATATACAAACTTACCATCTATAAGCGCCATATTGGGGGAACTGGTATGTGCAAGTTATATACATGTATTTTAAAATGTTTGTACAAATTACTCGTAAAAAATAATATTTAAATGCTGTATACACTATTTTCTTATTTTAGTTGACTGATGAGGGGCAAAAAGGCCCGAAACATGTAAATGATATCGTATCAACTAAATAAAGGTGGAAAAGAAGCCATATGATTGGTTAATAACATGATCTCGTGTTCAACACTTTTAAAGAAATTTATTGATCATTAAAATCTGATTACATCTGGATTGAGTTCAAATTTAGGTTCAATTTCAAGTACCACTCTGTAAACCATTTGTAAAACTGTGGTCCAGGTACAAGAAATACTGGTCATTAGCTTTTAAAGCAATCACATTATCTGCCTCCATGTGACTACCTGTTGTGAGAAGTTATCTGTCAATGAGGGAATCTAGGCCTAAACGATTTACAGTTAACAAAATGTTTTAGTATTATAGTATTTATGTATTAAAAGGGTTATCAAAAGTTTGAGCCTTTCAACCAGAAGGAGACCCTCACATTCCCTAGATAGTTGGGCACTTGAGGAACAAACTGGAGACTCAACCTAATGTCCATTCGTCACCCCCCCAATGGGACATCCTGGCAGTAAATAGCCAATTAACCAGACTATCAAAGTGAATGAGGATGGGCTGCCATTATAGGATTAATCAACCATAATGGCTCTCTTTATCAGTTAAAACTTTTAAACATGGTACATAATATTAGCAAAAAGTCATACCAGCTAGAACATTATCTGGGACAACAAGGTCCCAGCTGAGTTGGTCAGGAAACCAGGAAACATAGTCTCCCCAAAGCATCCCATACATGTTCTATGGGATTTAAATCAGGGGAGTATGCTGGCCAATCCATTCTAACGATATCTTCACTTTCTAGAAGCTCCTCAACAGCAGGAGTCTGATGTGTACTGGAGTTATCATCCTAAAAAATGAAGTCTGCATCAATGGCACCTCAGAACAGATGAATGTGGGAAAGGATCACTTGCTGACAATAGAAATCTCTGATAACAGTAGTTCCATCAAAAATTTGGAGCTCAGTCTGCCATTCATCATAATGCCTCCCCAAACAAGCATTAGGACCACCATAATGGTCTCTTTCTATGACATTAGTGGGATAAAACCATGTCCCTAACTCTCTCCATATCAATTGGCATTGAGAATTGCTCGTGATACTAAAACAACTCTCATCTGTAAATAAGACATGACTTCATTGATGAGATGTCCAGTCTTTGTGTTCCTTACACCAGTCTAAAGGTGCTGTTGATGAATAACTGTCAATGGGATGCAGTGTTCAGGTCACCTTTATGAAGGCATCTGGCCATATTAAACCGTGACACTTTTTGTCCCATTGCCATATGCAGCTGCTGAGCAATGTTGCCTGCTGACTGGTATCAATCTTTTTTTGCCTACAGGATGATATATGTGCCACTCACTTGTCAAATCCATTAACTCCATAAAACAAAAAGTGGAGAAAAAGTGACAAAGTAATATATGTTCTTTTTTAAAATTTCTTATAAAATATAAATTCAAATAAACATTATAGAAGATATTATTGTAGATGTAGCTTTTATTTAATGACGTATAAAATGTATAAGATAGTATAGATATGCTATAATCGTTATTATTATTATGATTTGGTGTGATTGAGGGAATTAACTGATTTGGCAAGTGAAAAACTTAATAACATCAAATTCGGTCTTCACATTAGTGCACATTTTTTATTAAAATTTTTTTGCAAAAATGAATAATAACTATTATGTTACTGTTACAATGATTAACAGTAACAGAATAGTTAATTTAAACAAAATAATAATAATTTTGTTTAAACAAAATAATAATAGTTGCTGAATAATCAGTATAATGTTGCTGAATAATCAGTTTAAACAAAATAATAATAATTTTGTTTAAACTGATTATTCAGCAACATAAATGATGTCTTCTTCATCAGCTATATTTGAGTCCCATCATGTCGATTTGTTCTTAAATTTTTATAAGAATCATGTTTAATAGAAGGAATGAAAAAAAAAAATTAGTTTTATCCATCTTGATATAACGGGTTTCCTTTCTTCTAAAACAATTGTCGCCAAAATTAAAACAATCGTTCAATATTCCACAAGTATAATTACTTCTGTGGCAGTTGGATTGTAACTAACTAATTTCTTTTACTTATGTTTTGTGATGAGATAACATTAAATAATTTACTGTTATCTACAAAACACTGGTCAGCACACACTGCAGCATTGCAATCACACTGTGCGCTGGTGGATTAACGTTACAGTATGGAGTTACTTAAATTGGCTTCTGAAATAAATAGAATTTTTTTCAATGGTCAATAAAATTTTGTCATTAAGTGTTATTGATCCTTATTATTAAGAAAACTTATTATGATTATAAAAAGTTACGAGTATATTAAGTGATTTCAAACTAACATTTTAAAAAATTCGAAATGTGGAGTTAATCGATTTGGCTTGTGAATGGCTCATATCAGTCATCAAGTTTTTCTTCACAACCACCAACAACTCTTCTTATAGCTGTATCTGTGGTTTGGAAGTCTTTCCAAGCATGTGAAACTACATTTTTTATTGATTCCAAACTCTTGGGCTATGTTTGTCACACCACTCCCTCTCAAGCTTGCTGACCATTCTACCACAAGTAAACTCATCCATATGGTTTCTTTTAATCATATTGCACGTACAAACTCACTGAACGTGCAACAAATGTGTCTAATAGCATCTTTTGTCCTCCTTTTTATTGTAGTCTTGCACTGCGCATGCTAGCTGCATGCATTTTTTGTGCCTTTGTGTCACCTGTGATGTCTTCCTGATATTTGCATACAAATCATCTTTCCATTGAATTGGGTGTTCATTGTACAGATCGTAAAAAGCCCTTTTCTAAAATTTCATGGCTGTCTGCTTAAAAATTACATTGTTGCTTAAGTTTTGAACACCAGTGTATTTATCTTTACAGCTGTAAAAATCACATTTTAATTGAATTTTAAATAGCAAACAGATTGTATAGGATACTTTAATTAAATGGAACAAAACTTACGATAAAACATACATGTTGATTAATTATTAATTCATCAAAAATCTGAACTGAGCAGAAGTAACAAAAAAGAAAAATGTAACTGTTATTATGAACAGAAGGGTGGACAAAGGTTGGTTTAAGTGACAAGTTCGAATGTGATTTGCTAGCCATTTCAAGGGGTAAGAAATGTATTTGGTATTCTTGCATTTTTAACATTATTGATAATCTAAGTGACTAATAAAAATCAACATGATGATTTATCTACTTTGTAGTAATTGAATAGGCATAATTTTTCAAACATTTTTGCTTTTTTCAATAAATGATTTATTAAAATTACTTTAGCACCACAAAGCTGTTAAGATCATAAATGACATTATAAATGCAAAAAAAAAACCAAATATAATTACTTATACTTATATAAATGCTGTTGTTTTAACCTTAAAACTGTTTCTTTTTCATTATTACATACTACGATTCTATTCTAATGAATGAATGAATAACTTTAGAAAAGTTTATGGTTTCTTGGTACTGTAAGCTTAATTTGAACAATAACACAGAAGTTTAATAACATTAATATGTATGACAATAAGTGATGATTGACAACTTAACCAGATTAGTGTTTTCTAACAGATAAAGAGTATGGCTTTTTACAACCTGCCCTCTTCCGCTATTCTTATTTTAACCCAGTGTTTATTCGATGCCTATAGTCAAAATTTGTCCTCTGAAAGAGTATTTGAACGGATTCTTTGTTTTAGTTTTAAAATATTTTGTATGTAATTAATTCTTTCAGAATATTGAAGGTGGGACTTTGTGTTTTCGTAAGGTAAATTATGGACAACAGGGTACATTATTTAGTATGTCTTTTATTTAGATGTCAGTATTATAGATGTCTTATTTGAAGGGCCTGAGGGTTGTAAAAATGTCCATTAAATAGTAGTGTCCATTAATTAATGCAGGTTTCACTGTATTCAGAAGTGTGTTACATACTCAACCCACAAGAACCTTATTATATCTCAGTAACAACAAATTTTAATTAAAACTAACATTTTCGACCATAATCATGGTCTTCCTCAGGTTGTTTGACCATTTGAATATAGAACATGTCGAACAAGGAAGACCATGTTTTAATTAAACAAGGAAGACCAAGGAAATGTTAGTTTTAATTAAAATTTGTTGTTACTGGGATATAAGGTTCTTGTGAATTGATTATCCCTCCCAGTGATTCTCGAGAAGTTGTTTTATTGTTACATACATTACTTAATATCAATACAATGTCAGAAATTTTATCAATAGACAATACACTTAAAAATTATTTTATAGCTGATACTCATTTAAATTTGAGTAACAAAAAATAATAAATACATCATTAAAAATAACTTACTCATTAATTGATCTCCGAAGATTATCACGAACTTGATTTTTATTGAGATCTGTGCACCATGTTTGTTCAGAGAGAAATTTTGAGACATATATCTCCACTCTTTGTCTTAAATTCTGATATGCAGGCTATAATAATAATAAATAGATTTGAATAACAAATATTTAAAATTCAAAATGTAAATTTCTACTACTAAAAATTTAAAATCACATGAACCAAATACAGAGTTAATCAAACTGATTTTTTTCCAAATTTTGAATATTTATTATATCATAAATACATAACAAAAAAATACAAATTATATTATTTCACATGTTTAAATAGAAGAAGAAAATGAGAGACACAAAGTTTTTGATGTATAACAAGCAAAAAACTTTTGGTTTTATTTAAAAATAAATTAAAAACATGTTACAATTTAAAAATTGCTAGCACTTTTAGTAAGACACTCTTACTATTGTCAGACAAACAAAATATATACAGTATATATTTTGTTTGTCTGACAATAGTAAGTTTATCTCAAGTAGAATAATAAGTTTCCTCACTATTCTACTATCAGATAAAGTTAAAATATAGCCAAAAATATCACAAATAAGAAATACTGTGTTAGACTATATGTTGAAACAATATTTGAAGTTTCAAAGAGAAAGAAACTAAATTTTTCAGCACCATTTGACTTAATCAAATTCATTAGAAAACCTTTATTACTACTTGGATTAATTAGTTCAGTGAATAATAACTCAGGTTTAACAGATTGTTGACCTGATATTTTTCGTATATTATTTTTGTAGCTATTAATTATACCTTTGTGCTAGATAACAATTACAGTAGACTCGCCATTAACCAGAACTCAAGCAACTGGCAAACATCGAAAAAATAATACTTATCTGTACAACTGTTTAACTTTTTCCCACAAAGAGATGTTTTCATCATGTTTTAGGACAGCTGCAGTTTCTTAAAAAATGTAAGTCACTATTCTAATTGAATTCAAACATTTTTGACCTTTTATATCATTTTCTGATAGATCGAACAATAATCTAAGCTATATGTTTTCATTCTAATTTGTTAAAATCAAATCCCATATCTGCTCAGCATTAACATCACTTCTCAATTCAGCTAAAAGTATTGATTTTCAAACTTATATCATACTGCCTTCTTCATTCTTCTGTCCTGCTATTGTTAACTAATACTTTAAATAAATTAAAATAATTTCTAGCAGAAATTAAGTTTAAACTCAATGTGTCACACTGTAAGCAAGCACACACTTCATACACCAACATTTGTCTCCCATTCCCACCAATTCATTGTGTATAAACATACTGATTGGCTGGGATCTATCGTTATTCAAATTTTGTGTTCTCATTCAACTCAAGTTTGTCTTTATCTTAATTTGCTTTTAATTATTGTATTTCATATTAATATCAAATCAATAGAGAGTTTATGGTATAGTATAGTATAGTATGGGGGGTTAATATTAGTTAACCTATTTTTAGTAGAAACTCTCAAGAAATAGTAACTACATTAAGTAATAGAAAAACTACAAAAAATATATAAAAAAATAATGTATTATTTAAAATATCTGTTAATTTGTTTTTAAAAAATATTTGAATTTGTGATGTTGGTCGATTGCATTAAAAAAGTTTTCATTACAATTGTTCTATTTGAATTCTCAAAACATTGAATGTTGTTGATTTGAAGATGGGATTGAGAATCCTAATTCAAATAAATAGCCTGACCCCTTTAACTGCTTTTAAATTTCTTTTCTTACTTTTCATCAATTGAGTTATCTTTTCCAGTTTTAAGAGATTAGTACCTAATTGAAATTGGAATTACTTTCATTCCTGCTAGTTTGCATTCTTCCATTTTTGGCCAGATCCACAATGGGACAACCAAAGGTAGTGAAGAACGGGGCCTAACATAACCTGAAATGGATTGCTCATGAAAAATTCATGGGTTATTCATTCAGATTCAATCTGGAAACTAAGAGGAGTAGGCTGGCACTTTATCTCTTTCTCATTGTAATCATCATCATCATCAAGAGCAAAGATGTTAATGTTAAATAAGATAAATGTTTCCAAGTTTATAGATTTTATTTTGCTCACCACAATTTTCAGGCTGGAGTTTATTTGCACTGTTTTCAGAATCTGTTACTCTAAAAGTTGTCAATTCTATTATTAATATAAACTTTAATTTAAACTCAAAACTAGTTAACTGACTAACCATATTAACAGTTTACAAGAGTAAACTTTTTAATAGTATTACTCTCTTTTAGGAATCCATATAGATATGCTCCTCTGCTTATGAACAGATTAGGTTCCAGAGGTTTGCTGTAAGTCAAAAACTAATCTAGAAAGTACATTTATACATAGAATAACCAAGTATTATCAGTATTTGATCCTTCAATGCACTCAATAAACTACATTATGCTTGTTTACCTGTTCACTACAGCTTAGTAGCAGGTATTTCAAATGCATTTTTTTTTCACCTAATGCACTTAGTTTTATAATTCCAAGTTTAGTTTCCACAGTAATAGAGCCCTACTTCTTGCATTTATTTCCACTATTAGATTTGCTATTACATTCTGGATGCATTTTTGAAGCACTAATCATAAAAGTTTATTAAAAAATTGCAAACAATAGCAAAAAATGCCAACATTACCAACTTTAATGCCACCTCATGAGTGGCAATGAAACTTCAGAATTCATACAAAAATGAAAAATAATGATACAAAATAGAAATACATGCACATTAATTATTTATTACTGGCTAAACACTAACTCTACCCCACAACTGGCATGAGAAGTTCAGAATCTGCAAAATTTAAGTTTTAGACATATGGTCAAATTGCTCGTAAGTCTGAAAGTTTGTAAGTAGGGGAGCTCTGTACTCTATACTCTTTTTCCTTACCAAAATCTCAAATTATACCTCTTTCCATTGAAATTAAAATTTCTTTAAAAATTATTTTTTACAATTATTTCTTACTTTTAGAAAAATACATTTAAAAAACTTATTTCCTATAAATCAATCAATCATTAAATACATGAAAAAAATCATGAGTGATGAAAACAAAGAGACCACTTTTTTCAAGATCAGAAACCAGATCATGTACCAGATCAGTATGAGATTTGCTTTATGATCTTGAAAAAAAGCACATGTTTAAAAGTAGCTGCTATTGTTGATGTGATATACATAAATATTTGAAGTGGTTCTCATTGTTAATAATTGGAACTGTATTCTGTGTATTTCAATTTATTTCTTCAGAATTAAGGCAGTGTTGCAGGGACTGTCAATATAAACAGGCATTTAAAAGCAGTTATCCCTGCAAGGTAGCTTATTGTGTGACGTGCATAATTAATTTAAATCTTTATCTCTACTTTAAATTCTTTCAGTGTAGAAGTTATTAAGATTTCCTGGTAAAATCTTATATTTACTATTGTGGCAGCATCTGTTTAAGGTTAGTCAATCACACAATGTACTGTAGTTTTCAAATAATATAGTTCAGTTATTCTAGAACAGACTTGTGTGTCTCAGACCAATCCACCTATCAACAACGGCTGCATTCAGCAGACTCAACAGTTCCGTAGCCATCGAGTGTTTTTTCTGCCGAACATTCTCTACAGTAATGCTCTTTCGGAACACATTTGGTGTTTTGATGTCACATTCGGTAGCATCTTTCATTTACACTACCCAAAATTGATCAATGAAGCTTTTTGTTCCAACACAATGTCACTCATCATTCAGCAGATTCAGGTTGCTATGTAACAGCTACCAGATTTGCTCAGTTACAACTGTTGAGTCTGCCGAACACAGCCATTGTTTTGTGTCTCCACATCTGTAAACACTTTTTAGTACAAATGCAGCTCTGAATCATTGCTTACGAGATAAGGGAGAGGCTATCGCATTTTGAACTTTTTGCTTCGTCCCTTTAGTGTTGCTAAATTTTGTCGCTAGGTGGTGTCTTAACACCCCCATTCAGAAAGACGGATGCACGCCAGCTAAGGCAGTATTCCCTGGCTAAAGTGCTGTGAAATCCATTGGAATTTAAGGTAACATTTATATATTTTGTTTATAAATGTTTCCCCCTGCAAAAGGAAATTGACAAAACAGTAGCATACCTAGGTGTTTTTTATACTGCATTATTTCTTTTATTGTGAAAGAAATTTTGATCCTTTTCAGAGCATGGTTTATTGCTACATACCATTGTATAAAAGCAGCAGACATACGAAAGGTGTGGTTTTCCATGAGAAACTCTTGGAAAACCACCCTCTGAAGCACAGTTGTAAACACAGTGGCTCTTAAGTACTGTATAAATAGGGAAGGTGAGAAAAAAGGCAGTTCTTGGATTCCTTCCGATAGATCTAGAGTTTGTAGTCAACATTTTCTCCCCACAAATTATAGTGTTAGCACAACACAAAAAGGGCTTTTACCTGGCTCTGTGCCATCAGTTTTTGAAGAATATCTAGAAAGATTGAAAAGAAAGTAGCCTGAACCCAGAAAACTGCCCAAAAACAGAGTACACCATCTACAACTAGGTATTTAACTAGTGTGGAAAATAGTATTGATCAGGAAGAGGATGACGCAACTGAAAACAGCAAAGCCAGCACTGATATTCAAGTTCAAAGACTGAATTATATTGTATGTATTTTTGTTGTTCTAGCTTTTGTCTACTCGTTCAAAATAATTTATTAAACAGTACATATTTGTTGTATTAAATAATATGCTACGATAGGCAAAACATTTCACTTTATAGAGATTAAATATAAAAAATGGGAGTACCAGATGACAAAGGTACAATATTGCTTCGTAAAGTAAAGTTTTTCAAGGGAGTAATATTTTCTTTCACTCGTGTTCTCCATAAACGAGTGGATTGCAAATGTATTTAGTACATAATCACATTGCACATTTTCTCTCGTATAAATCAGAACAAACATATACGTGCATTACTCGTAAGCAACAATATATATGAGGCACTAGGGAGCTTTTCTAACCCGTTTCTTACGAGATAAGAGAACCTTATCTCTTAAGCAACGCTCTGAATGACGCTTGCAACAATTTATATTGAACTATTTTGTATTTTGTAATAAAAAGACAAAGATTAAAACACAAAAATTGCAAAAGTAAAGGAGCATATTTATAATTTTGTATGTAAAAACTGGAACAAACAGGATGTAAATAGGCGATTTACACAACGCTGTTTCAATTTACTAGTTTATCTACTAATATTGAAATATTTTAATAATTATATGCATTAAGATATCGGTAAAAATGATCGATTGCTATCTTTTCAATTAAAATTGCATTATTATTATTATTATATTTTTAAACTTACCTTAGTATCAAAATCAGCAATACAATCTCTTCGAAACTCATCAAAAATTCCTTGCGATTTCAATTGTCCAACTATTGTATTTACTACAGTCGAATCGCTAGATTGAACATGTGCTAAATTATTTTCCATTTTTTAAAATATAATTATTACTTTATAACATTTTTTTTGCTTGAATAAAAATACTTATACATTCAACAAAATGGCTGCCAGAAGGGCGTATGTGTTATAAAACAAAACAAGTGTAACAGTGCCATCTGCCGTTAAAAAATTTATCAAAACGTAAAATTGCAATAATACTGCTTGTGTTAATATTTTCTATAGACAATACAGTAGAACCTCGAAAACTCGTCCCTCGATAACTTAGCACTCCGGATAACTGGTCCACACCTTGGCAGGGCGAAAAAATCCTTAGTTAATTAATTTTCATTATAGACAGCTTTATAAAAGTATAAAAGCTCTCATAAAGTATTTTTCTGAGGTCTGTCTTATCAGGTAAATTACTGTACACAGTGTATTCATTAATTTTCATTTTCATGTAGTGGCTCTATGCCTTCATAAAGGACGTACTTTTCCTTTGTTTAAGGGTATTTGGGCAGTTTATTCTCTGTTATATTCTGTACAAGTAAATACTGTACAAGTACAGTACAGTATTTTCTGAGGAAATACTCGTACTTATTTTTTTTAACCCCATTCCCGATAACTCGGCATTTTCACAAACTCGGCCACCCTTCGGTCCGCATTAGGTCGAGTTTTCGAGGTTCTACTGTATTCAGAAACTCTTCCGTAATGGTGCGACTATGCAGACACGAGAATCAGAAATTCACTCTCGCCAGCGATATTTCTCGCTTCTCGCTTGTGCGTTGTTTTCCTTTGTGAGAACTATATCGCTCGCTACTAAATTCGCGTCTAGATAGTCGCATCCTAACTCTGAAACTCTTTTTCAAAATAAATGTATTTTATATTTTAATTTTTCCTCTTTATCACCATTCCATTCTTTCTTTTCATTTTCATTTCTGCATGGTATGGTCTGATTTCGAGTAATGTAAATGTTAGCAAGATGACCTAACATTGCCGAATTGGAGAAGAAGAAGGCAGTGGAAAAACCCGAAGAAATTTTTAGAGATGATCTGTTCCAGATATGTCGAATCTCATCCCTCAGTTGAATTGTGGTGAATGCTGACTTGGCTAAACTCACGAGGGGCTTGAAAAATGGTCCTCCTATTTGTTCGTACCGGAAGTTAAAGACGTGGAGAAAATCTGGCGCGATTCCACGACCGAACTCCCAGTGTTCAGGAACGAAGACCGCTTAGCCACTGGTGGGCCTCAGTTATTTGTAATTTAAGTTTATAAAACTCTATAAATTTTACCATAATAATTAAATAAGTATATAAAAATATAAACAGTCAAGTATATAAATTTTATATTAAATGTGCTCAACAGAGGCCAAGTGAATAAAACTATTGAACACTTTTGTCATAAGTTTGCACCTCGCCAACGGGTTTTCTTCAAGTTAGTAAAAGCTAAATAATGCCCAATTTCCCATGGAACTATTATACAGGAGCAGCAGCCACTGAAAATCAAATGAAACCAGTTTATGCTTTTAACTTGAAAGCTTCGGGTAACTATTACTCGCCTCTATGTGCATTATAAAATTAACAATAGGAAATAAATTTTATAGTTAATAAGGGAAATGTGTTTTAAACTTCTTTTATTAATTGACACAACTCATTACTTGTAACCCAAATAAAACAGATTGAGTACTAGAACTATATTTTACTGTATATGTAAATTTACATCTTTATTTTTATTTGTTGAATACAGAAGAATGGTGAAAATTTCTGCTGTCTATAAATATCATATGACTTATCAAAAACCAACTTTTAACGTAAATTACTGGCTTCAGTAGGAACATTCAGACAAAAATGTTTATAAATTGTAAGATATTTTTTGATGTTAAATCTCGTCGATGACATTTTTTGTGCTTAACGATTTTTTACAATGCCAGAAAAGTTAGCTTATCTTAGCCAAAAAATTAGATATTGCAAAAATATCCTTGAAAAAATAATTTTAAGGATATTTTTAATACGATGCAAGTTAGTTCGGCTGAATCACATCAAATCAAAGTAAGTACTCAGCATCCGCCTAACAAAAATTTCCGGGTTAGAAAATCAGATAGAACATTAAAAAGTACTCTTAAAACTGCTCTGGCTAGAATTCCGGATATATATATTAAGTGCTATACCCGAAAATACAATAAAAATTTGCTATTTTTGGCTTTAGATAAAAATTTCTTAATGGCCATTTCAGATTTGCATTTGTTTTTCTTTCGTTGCAATATGTTGCCAGTCAGGTTTTTGCTCTTTTTTTATTTGATGCGAACATCGTGTTCGCATCATTAAATAAAAAAAATCATTAATTAAGATTGGATAAGTGAAATTGAAAAAAGTGATAATGAAAGTTTTACCAGAAATGAGAGATAAACAGACGAAACATACTATAGGGAATGTGGCTGCCTTACCTACGATAAATAAACCTAATCGAATGTTTTCTTTATCGTTTTCATGTTATTCTTTACCTTTTACCTCGTTTTCCAACGCTACCTTTTCTTTTTCTTTTTTTGAACTTGTCATTTAAAAGAAAAACAAACGTTTCTTCTCCTCACAATATGGCGGTTTGTTCTACAATGGAACTGCTTCTGGCTTCAAGTGCGCAGCTAGTAGCAACAGAGCGCTGCCGTTTCAATAATATATTATAGCTCCACGCAATTTCCCGTAAAAGACCTTCCGGAAGATATCCTCCTCGGAAGATCGCCCATAAATAACAGGTATTTATTCTTGACGGCTAGATGGCCGCTTCGGCCATCTAGCCGTCAAGAAAGCACAAAAAAGCAAATCGTTTTTGTGCTTTCGTTGTCAAAAAAGCAAATCGTTAAGCACAAAAAATTTCATCTGTACGACGAGATTTAACATCAAAAAATACCTTACAATTTATAAATATTTTTGTCTGAATATTCCTAATGAAGCCAGTAATTTACGTTAAAAGTTGGCTTTTGATAAGTCAAATGATAGCCGTCAAGAAATTAAATTTATACTGCTCTGGGAGACTATGATAAAATCCAGATGGTCGAAAGACCCCAGTGTTTTATCTTCGATATTTAGGACCCATCTTTTCACCACCCGGACATCTCGATTGTGGACTTGCAAACTCAGGACGGGTTTTTTAAAACTCTTTCCGCCCTGTGGGTACTAAGAGGGCCTCTTTTAGCAAGTCCATTATGGGTTCGACATATCCGATCGGATCATCCACAAAAAATTCCTGGGGATATTTCGATCCATACGGATTCGAACCCGGGTCTCCCCAGAGCGGCAGCCTGCCACGGCCATCAGGCCGTCAATTCAGGACGGGTATGGAATAACGACCCTTTTAGAAAGTAAAGAGACAAAAAAAATGTGAAAAAATATCTTTCATACTTTCAAATTATGAAAAAAAATCATTAAATAAAAATTCCATGTTTATAACCCTAAATAGAACATTTAAATGATTTGTTAAAATATGATTTATGAGCAATTGAAATTATTAAAATTTTTTCTCTAAAATTGACATTATTGTGAAAAATTTTTTGATAAAATACTCGTAATTAATTTAGAAAATTTTTTTGACTTAATATGGAAATAATTCACTCTGTCTATCTAGCAACCTTCAAATAATAATATATAAGATGGCGCTGTGCTTATTTTGAAATCGCGTAGTGTGTTTTCGGTTAACTGTCACGTTGCTTTATTGGGAATATGGAAATGAAGTTTAAAAGTAAAAGTTATTATTTTTAATTTTTAACAGTAAATTCATAAAGCGATTTAAAAGGACAATATGGACGTGAGGTAATCTTTTAATCCAAATGGTGATTAAAGAATCTGTATTAACAATTAAAATTTAAAAGTTTTAGGTACGTTTTTATCGTATTCTTCTGTTTATTGCAAACCCCGAACTTATAAATATTTATATTTCAAAGAAAAAATTATATAGCCAATAAAATTGTTAAATTATTTAAATTTGTAGAGGTACAACAAATCAGAATACATTTTATTTAAACTATCGGTTTATGGGTTGGTGCCGAGTCAGTTTTTTCCCCTTATGGAATTATTGGTGCTGATGCATTGAAATATGCCATTTCTTTTGGTCATATTCCTGTTACAATTATGTGTTATTGGATTCATTCAAGTTACTAGTGTATTACAGGCCATGAACAGTGTTGAGTTGAAAACAAAGAGCATTTTCTACGCCTGCTTCTGTATGATCACAAGCATGCAAAGGTGTCACAGCTATAGAAACATTAAATGATAATCACACAACGTTATACAGGTAAAATATAACAAAGAATGGCTTGGAAATGATTTTTTTTTGTTTGGAAACAAGTTTTTACCATAATTTGTGCTTATAGTGATTGGTTAATAAATTTTTAAGATGATCATATGAATGAAATTTCATTCAAACAGCACAAGAATTAGCCATTGAAATGAAATGTGATCAGGCAACAATTGTTCAACATCTCAAACATATGGGGTAAGGTCCAAAAGGTACTGTTATTAGGAATGCTAACTCTGATATGAAAATTCATTAGTGAATTGCTCTGTGCTATAATATTTACCGCTTAGACAGTATAAATGTTTCTGGCAGCATCGATAGTTTTCTTGTTGAACTCGTACAGAAGCAAGTGTAGGAAATGTTCTTTCTTCTCAACTTGGCGCACTATCCTTTGTGACCTGTATTAAAAAAAGCCAGTAATTTAATGAATCCAACAACGTGTCTATATAATTGGAACACAACACTACAAAATGACATAATTTCGATGAATCAATACCAACAATTCCATAGAGGAAAAATGACACGGCATGAACTTATGTATCGACCAAATATTTTATATT